GGTTTGCACCTCAACACGGGGATCTGCTTTCTCTACCTCTTCCCAGGCCAGCCTTCTTACAGACGCCTGGGTGCCTCAGGACAAGGGGCCCGAGCAGGGTGCGGGGAAAGCAGCAAACACTGGAACTGGAAAAGCACGCAGAGGCCACGGCACAAGGGTAGTCACTGTCCTGCTGCACAGGCATCTTGTGGTTTGTCAATAACAATTCTAATAATGTGAGACCTTAAATCGCCTTTTCTTTTCTAGTGTAATCCAGTCAATGGTTCCACTTCTGAGAATCAGCGTGGAGATGAATGAGGTCAATTTTACAATAATAATGTACAAAGGATGGTTCTTGTTTTGATTATTACATCTGTAATATTTTATTTTTAAATTAAACTTCCAAATCATGGCCATCCATTTAAAGTGGTAACATAAATCAAAATGAAAATACTTAGAAGCTGGTTGTTACACCACCATCAAAATCTAATTACATAATGGCTGCTTTATAAACACAGCGAGGGCCCGCAGGGCATGTCACAAGGGGATACTGCCTTCTCTAGGCTGAAGTCACTTGGCACCACACTCATCTTTCAAGGCTCCTAAGGTGTGGTAATATCCATGACTCATGAATTGTCCTTTCATTGCTGCACCGATTACATGATTTCCACCATCAAATGAGCTATTAGATTCTTACTTCATTTGTTTACTGCACACAAATAGCATCACAGTAAATACCATGCTTATTAAGGCAAATCAGTGGGATCCACTTGCCAGATATGACCCAAAAAGGTGGGGGGAGAGAATCTGGTGTCATGAACTCAATGGTTCCATTTATATAAAGGAAGAGAAATAAAGATGGCTTTATCTACTACCCCAGGAATCCAACCAGAGGCAGCCTGTGGACTAGGAAGAGGGGCTGGCTGCTAGTATCCTGAAACAGAAGACCCTACAAAGGGGGACCCAGAGGGTGCTTGCTCTGACTGAATAGAAGAGAGCAATGAGGCAAGGGGCCAGGTGGGCAAGAAGCTCGTTCAGAGGATCTAAGAGAAAACAGGCAGGTGAACCTCAGTATCTTATTCTACAAAGCGAGATCAGTGAACCAGAAGGTCTGAAGCCTCCCTCTGAATGTCACGAGTGCATGGTTTTATGGTCGAGGCTGCATGGCGACTGTGCCATGGCGGGGGCAGGCAGGGTGTGAGGCCCACCAGGATCCATCCTGGTCCATAGGAGTGGGAAGTGGGAGGGCTTCAGCCTTTCCCAGTCTCAGTGTCCTCTTGGGCCTGGAGGCAGAGGAATGTAGCGACAGGCAGTCACCTCCTGAGAGAAGCCAGAGGGTAGACCCAGCATTTCTAACTACCTTCACTCTTCCCTCAATAAGAGCATCTGGAACACATTTAATGCTAAAATGTACACAAGCAGCATACATCTCACTATACTCCACCGCATGTTGTACGCGCTACTCAGAATAAAATGTTCTGTCTCCTGAATGTCTTCACAGGGTTCACGGCTATGGAGAATACACTTCCCCATGGACGTTTGGAAGAGGCCTACCGAAATATCCAGGACGCCCAGAGGAAGGCGGGTGTACGGCGCGCTGGGGGACCAGACTGTCACCACAACTTGCTTTCATCAAGACGCTCACTCAAAGACGGTTCTCCCAGGACTAGGAGAAAGGGCAGGAATATGGGCCCTTTTGAGTGAAACCACACAAGCAAACACCCAGGTGAAGCAAAGATGAGCTGCAGCCACACTGAGAAGTGAAAAAGGCTGGGTTCGGTCATCTACTACCTTCCCCTTCATGTCTGCCTCTGTCCCCCTGTCCTGTCTCTTCTTCAGTACCTGAGCCACGTCCCCCACACTTCACTGGCACCCCACATGTATGCCAGTCTTCAAAGCATTCCTCCAAAATTCCAGTCCTTCCGGTCAGCTTTTGGGGAAGAAACTGCATCACAATTTAAGTCACACTAAAAATTAAAACCTGGTAATAGCCGAATTCTTCCTTTCAAAGGTGTTTGTATTTTAGGAGACATCAGGACAGAAAGATTCAATCCCAAAGGAATCAATCCCCAGTGACAGGTTTTTCTGGTCAACTGGATAAAACAGTTTCAGGAATGGGTTTTTCACACAGGTCTAGACATCTGAGCCATAATCAATGGGAAACGGTGGCAACCACTAACACTTATCCATGTATGCTGGTCAGTTGTGTTTGCTCTGGGAATTGGAGACGTGCCTGAGAGAATATTAGAGCATGTCCACACTCACTTTTTCTTATGTCTTTCCCATTAGTCTCCTCCTCTTTGGCCAACTATTGACATGCCTTTGACATGCCAGCAAAATATACTGAACTTAAACTTATGTCCATGTTGGGCTACACAGAAGTGGCCTAAATTCATCATTTTCAGGTCTATATTCTTGTCAGTCTATAGCCTAATAAAAGGAGATTTTTTAAAAATCAGTACTCTCCACAAATCTGGGTAAGTACTCTCCTCTTCACTTTGATCATGTCTTTAGCTAGTCATCAAGTTGGCAGGGATTCTCAACCTTAGCACTGTTAACATTTGGGTCAGAAAATGTTTTGCTGGGGTACGGAGGTATCCTGTGGGCTGTCAGATGTTCAATATCTAGCCTCACCCTCCAGATGTCAGTGGCACCCTTCGGGGTATGACAACCAAAAGGTCTCCAAGCCTTGCCAAATGTTCCCTGGGGAGCAAAATCACCCCCACTTGAGAACCAGAGTTAAAATAAGATGACAAAAATGACAGCCCAACCCACATCTGGGAAGAAAACAGTAGTTTTTACAGGGCTGGTAATGTGGTATGCAATTTAGAACTGCCCTCACTAATGAGCTCCTACACTGTTATTCTAATGGAAACCCGGCATCCAAGGCTTCAAAGAAAAAATCTGATTCCGCAACGAAGTATCTGAGGGGAAAAAAGAGGCTAAGAGAAGGCCCAATGTGAACCTAATCTAAAGGAGAGTTTTTCTGTCTTCTAGTCAGATAACGGGCTCCTTTTTTTTTCATGAACAGTTTGTGCTACTGGAAAATTATAAAACTAACTGGGACCTATATTGCAACTGACCCTCATCAGCTGAGCCAGCCCAGCAAACAACTGTGGAACAGGTTTCAAACATGCGAGTTATCAAGATAGAGAAACAGCACTAACCCATATATTGCCTTATAAGCATCTTTTCAGTTTGTCTAGATAATGTTAAGTGGCTGATAAAATTTTAAATTATGGCAGGCCTGAAAAAAAATTAAGGACCTGCACCTTTTGCTGGTTGCCACTTTAGAACCCATGAAGACTCAACTACTCTATTTTTGTGGTTGTTGTTCTACTTATTTATTGATTGATTCTTGTATGTGCCCTGACCAGGGATCAAACCCACAACCTTGGCACATCCGAACGATGCTCTAACCAACTGAGCTACCCTGCCAGGGCCTAGGACGCAACTACTCTAAAAGCACATTTCCCTGTCCTTCGTCTATGCAGGTTTGGTTGCACAGCTTTCCCTGCTTCCTCCCCCTCGTTTCAGAGTGAATGACATTCATTAGCTTCATAAGATAAAGACTAACTTCTACAGAGTGGAGCTCTGGGGTCCTGCTGGACCTTTCTCAGGTAAATAGGGGATCAGATTCCACCTGAAACCGCTGAGGTAAGGAACGCCAGACAGCGTTTAACACAGGTGTTTTACCTACCCTACAGGATTAGTTAAAATATGTCTGGACCCTATTTCTGTCACATCAATTCCAATAGTGTTATTAATCAGCCTATTTCATGCCTTTTTCATCCTCTGCTCTAGACCAGCGCCATCAAAGTGTGTCCCAGGTCAGCATCGCCTGGGAACTCCTCAGAAGGGAACTCCTCAGAAAAGCAAATGATCAGACCCAGGTCCAGACCTAAGGAGTCAGCAACTCCGGGAGTCCGGGTTCTGCAATGGGTTGTAACAAACCCTCCAGGTCGTTCCCCTGCAGCCTAAAGTCTGACAACCAATGATTTCCGCAGTTATTTCTATAACCATAAACAGGTTATTTTTCAGAACACAAAAGTGTAGACTGGCAAACATACTTGACATCATAAATTCTCACGTGCTCCTCAACCCTGATGCAAGCTAGATGCCATCCCCGCTTCAGGGAGGGGACAAGGCTGGAGGCCCCGAAGCTAATCACTGCAGGTGGAAGATAAAATTTTTGTAGTTTTTCTCACTATTGAAACAAAGATCTGCGCATTTTATTAACCGATTCCCTGGCTTTTTTTGCTCTTTTAGCTTTCGGCAATTCGGGGGGGTGGGGGGAGCAATGGATGGGCGAGAGCTGCGTGCCAGCTGCCTGGGTCCTACCGGATCGTAATTTTAGGGCGCGATTCCGAAAGGTGTTCTTCCAAAAAAGAAAGTCTAATTCCGCCGCGTCCCCTCGGTCTTCGCCCCGGGGATCGCGCGCGTTTGACAGAGAAAGGGTCGCGACTTGGGGGCAGGACACATCTCTCCTCGCCGCTGGCATCCTCGGCGCGACAAGCTGTCCGCGAGAAGGGAGCCGGCCGCGCGCCTTGCGGCTCCGCGCCCAGGGGGCCGGTTTACAGGGAAACTGGCACCCCAAAGCCCGAGGGGCGCTCAACCCGACACCGCAGCCCCGGCAGAAGGTGGCGGGCGGTGAACCTGAAACCGTGAAGGGCCGCGAGGAAAGAAACCGCAGTCCCACTGGGTCCAAGTGAAGAGAAGGAGGAGCGCGCTGGCTGGAATGGAGCGGCGGGGGCACCCCAGGAGATGGAAGCCGGGGGAGCTGGAACCGAGGGGGGGGCACCCCAGGAGATGAAAGTGGTGCTGGAATGGAGCGGCGGGGGGCGCCCCAGGAGATGGAAGCCGGGGGAGCTGGAACGGAGGGGGCACCCCAGGAATGGAAGTGGTGCTGGAATGGAGAGGAGGGTGCACCCTAGGAGATGGAAGTGGGGTGAGGCTGCGGAGGCTGGCATGAAGCAAAGTGGAAGCCCCAGGAGCTGGAGGTGGGACGGGCCAGAACTTACTGTGCGGGTCGCTCTTCTCCCGGACCCCGTCCACTCGGCCGTCGGGGTGGATGCGCAAGAAGAAGCCCCCGTTTTTACAGTACAGCCGCTTGGGGTCCTTGAAGTGGCCGGGCGGGAAGGCGCCGCTGCCGCCGTCCTCCGGCAGGGCTGGCAGCGTGGTGATGCTCCCGGCGGCCATGGCCCCACCGGGG